GGGGGTCCTGTTTTGCCCACCTCTTGTGTGTTTTGTGTATATTATTTTGGTATACCATGTCATCCTTCTGAACAACCGGGAGTGGTAGATGAGTGGCTACCATGGTTCTGAGAGTTGACATCGATCAACGCAACCCCATTGTGTCACCAAGTCTTCCCTCTGAAGTTACAGGCATTTTGAAGGCAATAGAGCTTAGCATTAGATCAGGCAGAATGGGCCAGTGTCGTGAGAGCTTTATGATTCCTACTGTACAGTCTTCCTAAAATGTCCTTTTAATATGTTTTAACTGTATACTTCATTTTTGCATTATTATGTCAACCACTCTTCTAACCATTAAGCATTTTCACCCCTTCCAGCCCATAATAAGACCAAATTTACTCTCTTTATTCAAATTTTAACTATTCTAGATAATTCATATACATATTATTAGGCAATGTGTGTTTTCTTACCTGTTTGGTTTATTTTACTTACAAGTTTTTAGGTTAGGCTTCATTCATTTTAATGGAACAATGTTCCATTAGGTGTGTCCATCTGTTGGTAATCATTTGGGCCACAACATGACAGATACATAAGCCCAGCAGTTTGCCTTTCCACCTGATTCCTGGTTTATATGGCTTGTGTGTATTTAGCCTTTTGAGGAACTGCCAAACAATTCTCAAACTGGTTACATTATTTTCAAACTGGTTTACTTATTTTCCATTACTGTTCAGAAATTCTAATTTCTCCATACCCTTGCCAACAGCTGTTTTTATTGCCATCTCTGCCAATCAAAGACAAGGCTTATATGAAAGAGTTAAGCTGTGATGTTGTCCCATCAATGAGTTACCCAATTGAAACTTGTTTTTACTCTTTAGTTGGTGATGAATTTTAAAAGACTTTGTTAGTTGGATATGGTGGCACAAACCTTTAATCTCAGCTCTCAAGAGGCAGAGGCAGGTAGGTCTTTATATTGACCAGGCTGGCCTGGAACTCTAAAAGAGTCCCAGGCCAGCTAAGTCTTCATAGTGAAACCCTGTTTCAGAAATAAACAAAAATAGTCTTTTGAACATAACCCTTTAAAATATTTTATAATAAGCATACTGTATATTTTCTTAATTTATGAAATAGAAACTTTTTAAAAGGTACATTTTAAAGGCACATATAGATTAGTTTTATTTATCAAAACCATTTTGTTTTGAATTTCCAGTTGGTGATTAATGATCAAATACTTGAAAAATAAACAAGGAACCACTAAAACCTTTGAATCTTTCTTAATGTCCTTTTATCTGAATTTTGTATTAGTATGTAAGTCATTTGAAGGAACAGTTTTCAGCATAGTCCTTTTCTTTAACCAGATTAAGGGGTATTGCTGACTGTAGTCTAAGTATATATCATGCCCTCTAAGTGGGAGAGTAAGTACCCTTTATATTGGGAAGTCATGACCCTGGATTGAATTATAGAAGACCATTTTTCTCTGTGAGATTATAGTATTTTTGAGTTTCAGATGTCAAATTTCCAATTACTGAAGACTTTCTAATTACAACTGATTTTTCTCTTTCCTGTTCTCTTAGACCACAGATTTTCTTTCTGGAGAGGAAGATACATAAGTATCATATGTAGTTGGATTTTCTTTGGGCCCTCAACCACCTCCTAAATAAAGACAGAGATACATTATTAATTTTGAATATTTGACCGTAGCATAGGTCCACTAGCATTTTTAACTTAATTTACCCTGTTTCTATTCGTTTATGTTCTGCCCTCAGGGTTTTTACCTTTGTTTCATTCGGTATGTCCTACTTTCTTGCTGGCTGGCCCCTAGTGTCTCCTTGGCATCTTCTTTTCTTTGTTTTCTAGTCTAAATTCCTTCTCCTACTTATTCCCTCCTTCCCACCCCCCCACTCCATATACCATCTATCCCTCCTCCCTTGCTGTTGGCCAGTCAGGTGCCAAGGTAAAAACAGCAACACATCTTTACATATGGAACACATCTTTACATAGTTAAATATTCCACAACACCATAGCTATCACACATGAACTCACACAACTCCTCAGATGTACATGATTAGTTTTATGTGTGCTACTCTGCTGGTGATTGATTTTCCTTTATAGTGTATTTAGTGCAGCCATTAGCATATTGAAAATCTGATATTTGAGTTAGATTTTGTTAATTTGACTACTTGACTCTTGCATAGTTGACCAAGAGCCATTTAAAATTGCCAATGCAGAAAATTATAATTTGTGTGAATTCATAGGATGTTTCTAGACATTTCTTTGCAGTCCAAGATACTACTAACCAGAAGTTAGAATGAGGGTTTTAAAGCATTTACTTAATAAACTATTCAAAAGGAACATTGTCTTAAGTAATAGATTTTCTCTCAACTCCTTAATGAGCAGATTTCTTTTTAAATCATAGGAGGTTTAAACTCAGGGTCTTGTGAATGGGTAGTGCCCCACCATTAGACTTTCCCTCAATTCTATGAGCATATTTTTAAATATATACTAATTAATATATTTTAAGATGGCTTGAAATTCCAAGAAGTAGTAAGCTTGAATTTTAAATGATTTCATTCCTAATGTTTTATGAATTTTTACATTGTTATATTTACATTATGTTAATATTTCAAATATATAGTACATCAAATAAGTAGAATTCTCTAGATTAAAATTTAGAAATTTATTTATTACAAATGTCTTCATGTTCCAAGAGTGAACACATAGGATGTATTGTGTAGAGTATAACCTGAGAAAAAAATAAACATGGGTAACAAGTTTATCCAACTAGATATTTTGCAAACAATGAACTTTTAATTTAGCATCTTTACCTTTATGTATGAATTTTCCTAGACATTGTGGCCTAGAAATAAAATACTATTATAGAATATTTTTAGTAATTAATCGTGAGGGGTTTTTTTGTTCAGAATAAGTGATTAATATACGTTTCTGGTAATTAGGAAATTGCCATTATCAAGGTTGTTTAGTTGGTATATATTGCATACTTTGGGTCATCATATATTGACAGTATGGACCTTCATATTTACATTAGTAAGTATATACAGTTACAATAAGTTTACTAGCATATGGAATATTCTAGAATATAGATTACTAGTTTTCCCAGATAGTGTAGTGCTTCTTCCTTTAAATTTTTTATTGGAGTGTATTCCAGTCACTGTTTTGAGATAACTGCTTCTGGGCTGGAGCAATCCCAGTAAGGGATAATATGTATTTGGAAAGGACAAGTCAGGCATGACTGCAGAAGACATTTTGTCTCCATGATATTTTTGTTACCAACATTGCTTTGTTCCATTTAGTCAGAAGTACATTTTCTCTTTAATCTTTCCTTATCCCATGATTACAGCTGGAGAGAGTTTTGATGGTCTTATCAAACCTTTGTTGTCATATCTACCTTATTAGTTTAATAACTTCAAAACCTCAGCTGTAAAATTTATTGAGGCCCCTTGGGGCTGGAAAGATGGCTCAGTGGTTAAGAGCACTTGCTGCTCTTATAGAAGACCCAGGTTCAGATTTTTAGTACTAGCATGGTGACTCACAACCATCTATGAACAGTTCTAGGGATCTGACACCCTCTTCTGGCCACCTCCAGCACTGAATACACAACACATGGAGAAAAAATACTCCTACACATGAAATTAAAATAAATATTGGCCCTTTGACCCATTGACTCTGTTGGGCTCTTTCTGATATCACCAGTGAACAGAGGTCAGTGAGTTTGTTATCGTAATTAAATGAGCTCTTGACCTTGGACTTTTCTTCCTGACATAGGGTTTTTAATTAGAATGCTCTGTAATAACATCAGCTGGAAAGGTCTCCTTTTAACCCTTCGGTTTCAGCAACCATGTTGCTTCTGCAATGCTTCCTTGACCTAAGATCTTTGAAAAGCAATGGAGTTTCTGTCCCTTCTTTGTCTCAAGATGTTTGCAAGGATTGGAAATTTGAGCCTCAGTCTACTGTCATGACCTCTCCCTGTGGTATTAGTTATATGTTTAGGCCTTCCTACTTTCCCATTCTTATCTGATAGTGGTTATCTGTTAAGAGAGTAAGGTACACAGCTTCCCATTAGTGATGCACAACCTATTGTATTTGTTCTGTCAGCTAATTTAGCTAATGAGGATTTACTCTCATTTTGACTGTGTCAACTGACTCACATTATGGAATGCACAATAGATGAACACAAAACAATTATTTTGGTAAAGTTGAGCATTTAGTGCACATCTTAGCATCTATACTTATCGGCATGCTCTTGCAGTACAGGGCCTCATGCATGCTAACAAGAGCCACGGCCATGACAAATGATCTGTCCCTTCTTTATTTTACTTTTATGGAGTTTTGCTAAATTGGCACATCTAAATTTGAACTTGTAGTCCACCTACCCCAGCTTCTTGAGTAACTAAGATCACAAGAGTATGCCACCCCACCTAGCTATGGCCTTTGCTTATAACAATCAAGCTATAGTTTATGATACTGTTCTGGTAAACATATGAATGTGCTTCCACTTGGAGTTGATTTAACAAGTTTCTTAAACATATTGTTAAATCAATCACTTGATACAGGAAAGTTCTATATTTATATTTGCTTTGCGCTTTTTTGTTTTTTTCCAAAGATCTATTTATTGTGTATACAGGGTCCTGCCTGCATGTATCCCTTCAGGCCAGAAGAACGCAACAGATCTCATTACAGATGGCTATGAGCCACCATGTGGTTGCTGGGAATTGAACTCAGGACCTCTGGAAGAGCAGACAGTGCTCTTAACCTCTGAGCCATCTCTCCAGCTTTTAAACAGTGGAAAGATTACTATTTGGATATTGGTGGCCTTAGTTATTTGAAGTCACTAGTGTAGACCATGGTGGGCACTATGCTTGGATTGATTAGATCACATTTTTGTTTTGCTTTGAAGCACAGTGATACCATAAAGTTTCTTCTGTGTGGTCTAGGTAAGATGATGTGTCTCCCATTTGTCTGTTACCTTTTGTGCTGTTGAACTAATGCTGACTGTTTCCCTGCAGCATGGATCTGTGGCATCATTTCTATCACCGTCATTAGCCTGCTTTCCTTGCTGGGCGTAATTTTGGTTCCCATCATCAACCAAGGATGCTTCAAATTCCTTCTCACGTTCCTTGTTGCATTAGCTGTAGGGACAATGAGTGGAGATGCCCTTCTTCATCTACTGCCCCATGTAAGAAATCCTTTTAATCCACTAAAAGTTACATATAAAGATACTAGTGTTGAGAGTGTTCCTCAGTAACACACCAAAGCAGTGCTGGTTTTATTTGTGTAATTGTATGTTCTTACAGGTTGAAGCTTGTTTTTCACATTTTCACAATTTTTAATTATAGATTTTTAAATAACTCGATCCTTTTGGTTTTAAATGGTGCCAGGAGTGATAGATTGTAGTATATTAAGAAATGCATGCGGTGTGTCATATTGATTGTGCATATAGCCAGGAGGGTACAATGGTGAATGCTTTGAATCAGTTGATTTGTTTTACTAATTATTTGTGGTTTAAGTGATGCCATTAATTTCTATTTACAATGGACTCTTTATTTTTTGTTATTTCTTCCAGCTTGCTTCATTCATTAGTATTTTTCTAACCATTCAAGGCATTTGATTTTATCATGAAATATAATAATTTCCAGGTAATAAGCCAGGGAAATTAACTGGAAGACAACTTTATGTGATACAGTATCAGCAAAGCACTTTGAGATTTAAAAGCTATTCATGTGTCACATGTGGGCTCTGAACCCTTGAGGAAGGAGAACAGCAAGTGGGACTGGAGAGGTTGGCTTCTCTCTCAGTGGTTCCTAAGTTAGGGTTAAGTGGGAGGAGTAAGCTCTGCTGTTTTTTAGTATAGGACAGGTTGACTATAGGGTACAGAGACTGTGTGTGTGAAAGACTCCAGATGATTTTTTTTCCATCATAAAGCAATGATAAATGTTTGTATGACTTGACCATTGTACAATACATTCATGTATCAAAGTAGTCAAGGAAACCAATTAATGTGTACAGTTAATATGCCAGTAAAAAGTACAAATTAAAAACTAAAAGATACTCTTTCTATGTGTGTAAGATGTTATGGTCAAAATCTGAAGTAATTTCAGTTCTTTTCTTCACTGTCTAATAGTCTCAGGGTGGACATGACCACAGTCACCAGCATGCACATGGACATGGTCATTCTCATGGACATGAATCTAAGAAGTTCTTGGAAGAATATGATGCTGTGTTGAAAGGACTTGTTGCCCTAGGAGGCATTTACTTACTGTTCATCATCGAGCACTGCATCCGAATGTTTAAGCACTACAAGCAACAAAGAGTAAGTGTTTTATTGGATATAGTTCTAAATGAAAAGCATCTCTTTCTGAACACACAGTTTTTATTAATATGGTATTGGTGCGTATTTTTTCTCTACCTTTTTTTCCTGCCTGTGGCCTTTGTCATTACATTTATTATAATCAAGACACAGCAGTGTCTGAGACAGCGCATGTTTCATCTTACATAATGATTTAAATAGAACGTGGAAAGCTACTAACCAATTTTATTAGAAGAATGTGTTTGGAAACTGGTCTCATCAATCTTCCCTTTCAGTCATAAGTGACTTTCATTGTATTGTCTTACAGTGAAGCTTTTTTTGTACATCATCATCTTTATCAGAAAAACTTCCTTCTGGTATTTCTACTAGTGAAGAAGGAGTTGGGATAATAGGACTCATTTGGGAGACAGCATAAGGAAATGATGGAAGCAGTAATTCCTTTAAATCCTTGGGAGAAGGGGGCTCCAAAACCTAGATTGCCCTGCAGCTGTTTGTGTGTGATGTCACTACCTGAAAATGTCTGTCAGAAAGTTGGTTTAAAGCTACTACCATTCACAGTGGTTTAAGCCTGTTCACACTGGTTTACATTAGCCTAAACAGTATATCACAATACATGTCAGTAATGTTTGTGGTCATGACACATAGGTAGCCCCAATATATTATATTTAAGTAAAACTTTCCACAGACAGACAAGAGTTACACATTTCTTCTCTCTTGTTAATAGCAAATGTGTCTTTTTCTTTCCATTACTCTGGGCATTCATAATTCATTCATGCACACACACATTTTTGCATATTTTCTAAGACAAAAATAGACTTGGAACAGATTTCTGAACTAGGATTAAGAAGTGACTAGTTCATACAGACAGACATTAGCTCTGTCTTTGATCTTCATGATCTCCACTTACCATCTAAACAAGAAGTCCATTTTATTCTTATCTTTATTTTAATATCAAATTTCAGGTCATGTACTTAGTTTTTATTGCTTATCTTCAGAGGAGAACTGATTAAGATGAGGATCCCAGAAAAATTGCATCTGTGGAATTTGGTATGGTTATAGAAACAGAAGTCGGAAAGGTTGAACTTAAGAGAAAAATGAAATGAATCTAATTATGTGTTAATGGATAGATCTAATTATGTATTATGTTTGAAAGGTTCAATAATTATTTCTAATAGATGTGTGGACAGTAAAGTGGTGGTGAGAATTGGCAGAGTAGGGCTGGTTGGAGGAAAACAGGAATTGCTTATGGAACCTGTGTAGGATAATTTAGAAAACCAGTGATGGCACTTGAGCCAGGGTCACAGCATAAAGAATGACAAGTGGGAAGTGATGATAGGAAGTGTTTAGTACTAGATAAGAGAAGACTTGATAAGCGATTAGATGAAATAACAGTGTCTAATGCAGGAAAGGAATTTAGTGAAAATCTGAATTCCTTCATAATTAAAACAAACAAAACTGAACAGTTTGATTAAAAAAGGGGAGCGTACCTCAGCATTTTAGCAGGTGTTTGTGACAAAACCAACCAGCATGATGCTGAGCTGGGAATGTGTTTCCTTCCTGATTGTAAACAATAGTGTGATGTTAACAATCTTAGTTATGGTGGTCAGAAAAGAGAAGGTAATGACAGAAGGCACACATGAAGGCTGGAGGACTTCACACTATTCCTCCTCCTCCCCCCTAGAAGATAGGAGTCTATTCACAAGCAAGCCTAAAAATTCTACCAAAAGACAAGCAGAACTGATAAATGCTACAGTCCCAAGCTGCAGATTCAGTGCAGTACTCATTAAAACAGCAAGGTGATTAATGGCAGCCTAATTTTAGAACATGTCTAAAATATATATGCGAGCAAAGATCAGTGGTAAATGCAAAAGCCTCCCACATAGCACAGGAAACAACCTACAGGAAATACAGAAAATGGTAATCTAATGGGACTAATGTTTAGAATAGGGAGCTCAAAAGCACTTGGACAGTTCAGGAAATACTGAAAATGGTAATCTAATGGGACTAATGTTTAGAATAGGGAGCTCAAAAGCACTTGGACTGTTAAACAAACAGTCCAGTTGAGAAACAACCAGATAGGCACGTGTATAATCAACATTACCAGTCAACAACCTGGAATCCCAGCGAAAGCCAGGAGTGTACCTTAGAAGAACACCCCTGCCTTCCTTCTGAGGTGCCTCACCAGCAGTGTAAAAACAAATTTAAAACCCCAATAAGAAATCTATCCAATAGTAACCAATTCCAATAAATAAATAAAAAGAGAGGGAAAGGGGAACTTAAAGATAACAAATGCTGATGAAGATGTGGAGAAAGGGAATCTGCATACCATAGGAAAAAATGAAAATACTGTAGCCATTATGAAAGTTGTCTGGAAGTTCCTCAGAAAATTAAAATAAAGCCATCATAGGATCCACAGTCCCACTACTAGATATATATCCAAAGGAAGCAAAGTGAGTATGTCAAGGAAACATCTGCAGGCCAGTGTTAATGTAGCATGATAGCCAGGAAATAAAAATAGCCTGTGCATTCCATGTCAGTGGAAAATGAAATTGTAGCATATAGGCACAGAAAGATGGGCACTGTATGATCTTTAAGGAAGAATCTAAAGTTGTCTCCTAGTACCTGAGAGTACAATGTGGTTACCAGAGGCGGAGGATAGCAGAGGTCAGGGAGGGCAAGTGCTACTCAATAACTACTAAGTTACAGTCAGACAGGAGTGACAAGCTCTGGTGAACTGTTACACAGTGGGTTGATGATAATCAATGTTAGTAAAAAGCTGCAAGTTTAAAATACTACGTTAGTAAAAAGCTGCAAGTTTAAAATACTACAAGAGATCTTGCACATTCTTTGTACAAAGAGGTGGCCAGTCTTTGAGGTTCTTATTTTTTTAATTTATCACTTAATAATTAAATGTTAGATGGGCAAATGATAGGAATAGAATTCGCTTATGAAAAAACTTCATAAACCTTGGAGGAAGTGTGTAGTTCATTGTGAACTGTATGCTCAGTGTGTGTGTGAGTCCCTGACTCAAACTCCAGCTACTCTAAGAAAAAAGTAACTATAATGAGTTACCATCTCACATAGTCAAGATGGCTATGATAGTGGCCTTCTAGTGACAATGTGGAGCAGTGCGACATGGAAAGGGACTCTCACAGTGTTGGTGGCAACATAAACTGCTACTTACTACAGAGAAGGGATGAAGGCTTTTTCACAAACTGAAAAATAGATGTGCCATATAAAGAAGCCGTCCCACTTGTGAGTATGCCTGAGGGAAATGAAGTCAGCCTATAAACGGTACTTGCCCATTCACATTTATTGCTGTACTACTCACAGTACTTAAAATCAGGGATCAGCCCTTCTGAGTGGAGAAGCAGCTGGTGTAGGTGCAGAAAGAGTACGGAAAAACCTTACTCCTTACAGAAAAGAGTATTTGCAACCACAGAAGAGTAAAATCTTACTGTCCAGATGCATGGGACTAGAAGATATGGTGAATAGAATAAGCCAAACCCAGAAAGACAACTACTTCTCCCTCTCCTGTATTGACCCCAACAGCTGTCATCTGCATGTAGATAGTGGTTTCCAGAGGGTGGGGAGATAGGAGTAAAATAACCTAATCCACAACTCAAAAGAGTAAGTTCCAATGTTTCACAGAGCCTAATGACAACTGTAGTTCAGAATAAAGTAGTCTATAATTCATGAAGATCCTGAAAAGAGGATCACAGAGAGTTTCAGTCATCAGTAAATGTTGAAGAGAGGGAAATACTAATTACCCTGCTTTGATCAGTACATACTGGGTACATGTTTCAAAATGCCAAAATAAACTCCATAAACAGGCATAATTAACAATGGTTTTATATGCTTGTTTTGCTTTTTTAAGATGGGGTTTCTATATATAGCCCTGGTTGTTCTGGAACTAACTCTGTAGACTAGGGTATCCTCTATCTCAGATCCACCTGCCTCCCAAGTGCTGGGATTAAATGTATGTGCCACTACTGCCAGCAGTTTAAAGGGATGCTTATACATAAGTAAAATAGAACAAAGTGCTGGGAAGATACTGCAGTCAGTAAAGTACTTGGCATTCGAGCAGAACCTAAGTTCAGGCTTCACAACCCACACAAAAGCTGAGCAGGGTGGTGAGCACCTGTAATCTCAGCATGGGGAAAGTGGAAACTGGCTCACTGGCCAATCAAGTTAGGCAAGTTCTAGGCCAATGAGAGACCCAATGTCCCAATGTCAGAAAGAAAGAAAAATATTAGGTGAATGGTTACTAAGGAACAACAGTTGAGATAGATTTTTTTTCTGGCTGCTACAGATAGGCACCCACATGAACACACCCACACATGCAAAAAAGCACAAAACTACAGTAAATACTATATTACAGCACATACTGCACTGTGTTGGTCAAGGACAGCCAAAATTCCAGGTCCTGGGATAGATCCATGTCTTTAGAACTGCAGCAGAGTGCTCACACAGGGAAAGAGGAAACTGTACTTGGAGACTGCTTCAGGCACAACTAGCCATGCAAGCATACACACAACACTTAGAGAGATTAAACACCTGCCTCGTAGTTTACATCCTAGAAACCATCCTGAAGGTGCCCATGGCAGTAAGCACTCCCAGAGAGGCCACAACTCTGGAGTATATGCTTTTAAAATTAACATTAGAGGAAAGCAGATATTTTAGTGCAAAGACAAAGTTAGTGACAGAAGTACATAGTAAAAAGTCACATTGCTAAATCAAAAGAGAAATTCAAGTCTAATCCTATGAGGTGCAGCAATTAGTACATTAAGTAGTTGAGGATTAAATTATATTCAGTGTCTGCTTACAAAGTCACAAGAAAGAATGCTTGTTTTTATCTCCAAGTTGTTAAGAATCAGTAATTGTCATATGTTACCTTACTAAATCCTCACAAGATTGCTCCCATTTTGAAAGTCAGTTGTATGCTCTGTGTTAATAAACTTACCCACGCACATCTCAGAAGCAGCCTGCAGACTGAGAGATCTAGCTTAGGTTTGACTCTTCCATCATGCCACACCCAGGGAAGTGGAAGATTCCATTGTAGTGAGAAAATAGACATGAAAATTAGGACCTTTCTGCTACTTTATAGTACTACAGAGGTACTATGCAGTATTTCACACAGTATTTGAATTGTATAATTTAATAACTTGCACTCTGTTGTAAAAGTAGATAAGTTGAACCAGTGAGATGGGTCAGTGGGTAAAGGAGCTTGCAGCCAAGCCTGATGATTTAATTCTATACCCAAAACCCATATAGTGGAAGGAGGTAGTCCCCAATTTATCCTCTGACCTGCACACATATGTTACTGCAGGCATATAAATGTACAAGCTGTGCATTAAATAAAATGTAGTGATCAATCAAAAATAACTGAACAATGTTAACCTAATTGCTCCCAAATGAGTGTTAATAAGGGTATATTATTACTAGTTATTGCTGTAGATTTTATACTAATATCTGATTCCCCCCCCACAGGGAAAACAGAAATGGTTTATGAAACAGAGCACAGAAGAATCAACTATTGGAAGAAAACTTTCAGATCATAAGTTAAACAGCACACCGGATGCCGACTGGCTCCAACTCAAGCCCCTTGCTGGTAGCCAACAATTGCAATGAGAAACTTAAAATAGAAAAATTGAATAATTGTTTCTATACAGTGTGTTTGAAACTTCTTTTCTTTGTGGTTTTCCTAATGTGTTCTTCCTTATGTGTGAGTGTGTCTTGTAATTTTATTCATTTGTTTACTTTAGTTAGTTCCTGTGCTATTTATGCTATGAAACCAAATATATTAGGATCAAGGAAAACGTCCTATTCCTGGTTTAAAAACAGATAAGTGAAACAAAAAAGGGTCAGGCATAGTGGCACTCACTCATAATCCCAGCATCAGAGAGGCTGGGGCAAGAAGATTTCAATTTAAGACAAGTCTAGGCTACTTAGTAAAGCTACTCTATTTCAGTATCTCAAAAAGAATAGAATGCTTTGTCACAACCCCCAAAATGAGACAGTCTTCTCTGATAGTATTAGAGTGCCTTCCCCCTGCCTTAGCCTTCCCAGTGCTGGGATTGCAGGTGTGGGATTGAGGGCTACACTTTCCCTTATATGTGGTTGGTTATAGAAGGAAAATGAAAAGTTGCCTCTGTAGTTAAAGGAGGACGGCTTGCCCTTGTGTCAGAAATCCACAAGTTCTGTTTTCTAATGGAATGATGCAGCTTTTTCAGAGAAAAGGGCTTTTCTTACCTAGTTTTTCAAATTTCATTTGATTTTCCCTTTCCCCTCAGTTTGTCAGTAACTACCAGCATGGATGGCAGCCTTCCCTAGCTGTGGAATTCTCCCAGAGCTTTGTCATTTCAAAAAAACAAAACAAAACCAAAAAAAAAAAAAAAAAAAAAAAAAAAAAAAAAATAGTGCTGGAAAAATAATAAATTTTACAAAAATGACCTATCAAGTGTCATTAGCACATTCCAACAAAGATCTCTAAGAGGCATTGTCGTTGGTGGAGCATGTGTACAGAACTTTGCCGTGTGCAAGTTATTTAAATTTTTATTTTATTTTTATATTTATTTTATTTATTTATTATTATTTATTATTTATTTTATTATTAAACTTGACTTGTGCAAGTTATTTAAATTTTAGCTGGTAGACTTTAGAAACATTATTCTAATGGAATGACTTCCAAAATATTTTAGGGAAATAGTCACTTTTAAGACTAAAGTGTACTCACTTAAGCGGCTTGCGCTGCTGTCCTGCCCAGGGTTAAATTAGCACCTGTGAATGCATCTGGGAGATCAACATATCCTTTATTTCAATGTAGGAACTGATGATTCAGTTGTTTCTGAAGACCGACTCAACGAGACTGAACTGACGGATTTAGAAGGCCAACAAGAATCCCCTCCTAAAACTTACCTGAGTGTAGAGGAGGAGAAAATCATGGACCATTCTCAGAGTGATGGACTGCACACCATTCATGAGCATGAGATCCATGCCCCTTCACATAACCACCATGACGAGGAAAAAGCTGTGCTGAGGAAGCATAACCACCAGTGGCACCACAAACACTCGCATCACTCGCATGGCCCCTGCCACTCTGGCTCAGATCTGAAAGAAACAGGAATAGCCAATATAGCCTGGATGGTGATCATGGGGGATGGCATCCACAACTTCAGTGACGGACTAGCCATTGGTGAGTGCTGGGAAGCTTGCACTATAATGTATTCTTTAAACAAGTGTTCCTTTTTCTACTAATTTTATGAACTACAGTCCATAAGGTTAAACTTGACCTGGAATGTTTAAATGTCTCGCTATATATTGTTACCATTTGTTTTTCTCCAAATGATATGGTATTTAGAAGTAAAAGATGAAATTTTAGTAGCCTTTGTTTTTCTGCAGCTAAACAGTGTCTGTGGTATATTTCTTGAATAACTTGCTTTCTCATTATACAGTCACCTTACTGAAACTGCCTCCTTAACATTGAATTTCATGCATATAGACAAATAGAGATGAGTACAATTTTAGTCTTGGATTTAATAAAGTTTTCACAGCTTTGGAAAAGTGAAGAAAAGTCTCATATTAAAAACCCACCATAGAAAATTCACACATACTAGAATGTATAGGAACTATGTATAATGTTGCTATAATATAAACTAATGCCTAATTTAGAATATTAGCTTTGACCAGGGCATAGTTCTCTTTGGGGTATAGATTTAATCAATCAGAAATAGGCTTTGGTTTCTTTCAGAAAGCAGAAACCATATTTCTTTTATAACCATAGTAGCTGTTGATACTATAGAATATAGACTTCTGCTAGTGGAATGAGTGTGTGTTCAGAAGCCATGATGTGTAAGTTGGGTGGGCAACATACAGTATGAAATTAATTTAGATAGAAGGAACATGTCACTAACCAAAGTGGAAGAACCAGGAAACCCGAACCTTACTTACTGTCTGCTGTGTTCATATTCCTCTCCAGGGGCAGCTTTTAGTGCTGGGTTGACTGGAGGAATCAGTACTTCGATAGCCGTCTTCTGTCATGAACTGCCACATGAATTAGGTATGATCCTCAAAATTCTTACCTGCTTTCATCAAATCTAGGCCTTCTTCAGTTGTAAAATGCATGTTAAGACAGAAACCTACTGGCAAGTCTAGAGTGCCATTGATGGCCAGGTGCATCCCAGTACAAGACTGAGATCACCTGCTTATCACAGAAATGTCAGTGCCCTTGTGTTTTCTGTTTCTGTTGCAGGTTGATGATCATGAATTAAGGGTGTCATTTCTCAAATGCCTGATTATGGTGTTAACCCCTTTTTTATTTTATTTCATTTATCATATACTTTATGTTTTCCTTTTGTTTGTTTTTGGGTTTTTCAAGACAGGGTTTCTCTTTAGAGCCTGTCCTGTAACTAGCAACTCACAGAGATCTGCCTGCCTCTGCCTCCTGAGTGCTGGGTTAAAAGTGTGTGCCACCAGCACCACCCAGCACATTATATTTAACAAGCAGGGTGAAGTTTGCCACAACATAATTGAAACTTGAACTATAGAGACCTAAGACAGTGATTTCTTCACAGATGACAAAGAGATCACATTGATGTCCAAACAGTAAACAGAATGTTATTAAAGAGATGTGGGTGTATGGGTGGTTATTAGAGAAAGTGGGAAGTGGTTCTGATGGTCACTAACAAGCACTGGAATAATCAACTTCCTGTCATTTCTTTCTCAGCTATAAAGTTAGATGTTTAGACGATTTCATGTGTGTTATAATTCTTGCACGATTTTAATAAAGTAGGCCTTTTTTCTTTTCTATTTTCTAATGTTTTACTGTTCATGATGTGTATTATAATCCCAGTACCTAAACTGTTTTGTGCAGGTTCTTATTTTCCTATCACTTCAAAAATCTCTGTCTTGTAGATAATCATTGTCTTATACTAAAAAAAGTTTGGGTTTTTGTTTGTTTGTTTGTTTTTGAGACAGGATCTCACCATATAGCCCTGGCAGGCCTAGAACTTGCTATGTAGAGAAGGCTGATCTCAAACTTGTGTCCATCCTGTCTCACTTCCTAAGTGTTGTACCACTAAGCCTGGCCCAAAACTCCCTTACTGATTCTGAGCATTGTGTTTTGGCATACAGAAAATCACATTTTGGAATTTTCTTTGGGATGCCAACCAGTTCCCAAATAAAAACATGGAGACTCATTATTAATCCTGAATGTTCAGTCTTAGCTTAGGCTTATCCCTATTAACTTAGCTCTTTTCACTTAACCTGTTCCTATTCATCTACATTTTACCTAAGGGCTTTTTCCCTTCCTTTCATTCTATATGTTTTACTTTCCTGCTTCCTCTGTGTCTGGCTGGCCCCTGGTGCCTCCTTTTCATTCAAGCATAAATTATTCCTTCTACTTATTTTCTCTGCCTGGAAGTACCACCCATACCTCCTCCCTTGCTATTAGCCATTCAGTTCTTTATTAGACCAGTTAGTACCTTAGGCAGGCAAGGTAAAACAGCAACACATCCTTGTATAAGTAAACAAAAGCCACAGATCTCTACATCGTTAAATATTCTGAGAAACAAAGCAACAATTTTTTACATAGTTAAGTGCAACACATCTTTGCATAGCTAAACAAATATTCCACAACATTTTGATAATGGGTCATAATTTTAGGATTCAACTCAGCTAAGGTGTAGTGCTGTGATGTTTTCCATTCCCCTCAAGTACATCAGAAATTAAATTTAATTCCAAATAAATTCTCTGTAATGTGCGTAATTATCTAAGGAAAGTTGGCCATTCACCATATGAATGTACATAGAATTTTATTTATTCATTTTTTTTATGTATAGGTGTTTTGCCTGAATGTATTTCTGTGCACCATATGTATGTCTGGTGCCTAAGGAGGTCAAAAAAGGTGTATTAGATCTTCTGACCCTGGAGTTCCAGATGGTTGTGGGTTTTGGGGATCAAACCCAGGTATTCTGGAGGAGTACCCAGTATTCTTAACCACAGACCTATCTCTAGCCCATAGAATTTTTAGGTAAGATCATCTAAGTAAACCCTTTTTTAAAAATCTCAGTAATTATTTTTAGTAACCACAATACTGGATCACATTCATCAACGGCTTTGGCAGACATACCTTATCTGTTCTGCTAATGAATACCTTTGTCAGCAGGAGGAAAAGAACAGACTTATCTCATGAAGATAGCATACTCTGTCTAATCTCACTTGCAAGGAATCCTTTGACTTAGTTATAATACTTACACAGGCTCTCACTGCAAAGGAAGCTATGGAAATATGCAAAACCCCATAGTCTTTACAGCCTGAAAGATGAGAACAAAGAGATTTTTCAGGATTTTTGAGATAGGGTTTCCTTGTGTAGCCTTGGCTATACTGGAACTCTCTCTCTGTAGAGTAGACTGGCCTCTAACTCACAGAGATTCACTTGTTTCTGCCTTCCAAATTCTGAGATCAAAGGTAGGAGCCACCACTGCCCAGCAAGAACAAAGAGTTTTAAGGATCTGTTAGATGGTCCCACTTGAACCAAAGACATGAAATGTTGAGCCTAAATCTAACAATATGCATGGAATCTGTACTGAAAACTACTCAGTATTAAGTGTTCTTTTTTTTCTGTTCTCTTGATCCCCAGCAGTCAGAACAACAGCAGGTTCATTAACAGGGATTAGTGATCTTCTTAAAACTTTTATGGGAAAAGCAAACAATTTGACGTCTAGAAATTTTTGAAAAATGATTAACAAATTGATTTGAAAACTTGGTTTAACCACATACCCAAAACAGTGTCATTAAGAAAAAGGCAGGTGTGTAAATCACAGAAACATAGTTTAATACTTCCATATAGAGAGTTCATTTTCAGTAAAGCTGCAACTAAAATTCCAGATAGGGCTCAGCAAATGATGCTTCTTGTAGAATGATTACTTGCTAAAAATAGAAGCTGTTAGAAGTCTGTGATCCACACCGCACACCGTGAACAAAAATTAACTCAAAATAAGGCATTAATACACACAAAGTCTTTGTGTCTACTTAGGTGCATTAGTAAATATATAACCCATTAAGAAAATAAAGCAGACAACTCCACACGAACTTAAAATGTAACACACACAGTTTAAAGAGTGAAAAAGACAAGCCCTAGACTGAAAATTTAGATGACATATTTATAAAAGGCCTTTAGGACCACAATAGTAAAAGACTTAATCCATTTAGTGACAGGAATCTCTTCTGACCCCCCCCCCAAAAAAAAATTAGACAGAAGATTGAACAAACATTTACTAAAGAGGGTAAAAGATAATGTGAAAGTTTAGTCAAAGGAAGTGAACAGCTGTAGTCTTATATTTGGTAGGAATGGAATTTCTTATAAAATTAGGAATATAATGAACAATATGGCCTTACTCAAGAGAAATGGAAAGTTGATCTAAAAGCCTTTTTACTGTATACAGTGATTTCATAATTGTCTAAATGATAAGTAACCCAGATGTCTTTCAGCTGTTGAATAAAGCATTATTTGTCTGTGGAATGAATATTGCTGAGCAACAAAAGTAATTTCCTAATGAATCTATGTGCACATCATGCCAAGTGATGAAAATCCAGATCCAAACAATTCATGTAGTTTGACTCCATTCATACAATGTTCTGGAACAGACAGAAACATAGCAACATAAAACAAGTTGTTTGCTGTGCTCGTGGTGCAGGGCCCAGGGGATTTAGAAACTAATAGGACAGTTCTAGAGTTTTTTAGTAGTTGTGATTACATGGTGTGTGCATTGGTAAAGATCTGTAGATTAAACAAAGAAAGTTTTGTGAGTCATGCTTTCATGAAACAAAGCTAGAGGTCATAAAGAAACAGTTTTCATATAAATTAAGTACAGACTAAGATGAGATAAAGACCCCCCCCCCAAGAAACTGAGACAGAACTCAAGTTGCATGCTTTAAGAAAATGACAATTGTACACACCACCATATGGATATGATCATCTCGAGAGACAGCAGCAACTGTGTCTTATTTTTGTAGGAATTGATTAAAAAGTTTTCTCCTGAAGGATCCGAAGTTCAGGGCCAGCTTGGGCTGCTTGAGATCCTGTCTCAACACCCACCCACCCCCTTTGGCTCTTAACTAGCTAATTCATCCTCTTAGTTAATCGAGAGTGAAGTGAATCATGCTGCTCTGTGATAGCAGGAAAGACAGTGTTAGATGCAATTGTCTTTCTGTCTGTGTTCATTAAGTATTAAATCATGCTGCTTCCTGAGCCACATCTGTGAGACTGTAAAGGAATCGATGTGCTTCATAACCGACCTAAAGGACATATCGGCGGCCTCATTCTCTAATACCTTGCCCCCTACTAAGATACCCCTTTATTTTAGCACAGTTGGTTCAGAGTGAATTACAGCAAATACAGAGGAGAAAGTGGTGGAGAAAGAAGTGAGGTAGCTCCATCCATACAGGGTTACAGAAGACTGGACCAAATTAAACCAGACCCCAAGGAAGAAGAGAGCACGCCAGTGTAGTGCTGTGAAGAGGAAACAGTTGTACCAATTAATTCTATGTCAGCTTGACACAAGCTATGGTCATCTGAGAAGAGGGAAATCCAAATGAGAAAATGCCTCCATGAGATCCAGCTATCGGTGCTTTCGCTCACCACCCCCATTTCTCCTTCCCTCCCTCTCATCTCTATCTCTCCTTTCTTTTTTCTTCAGATGGGTTTGTTTTGGTCTTTGTTTTGTGTGTGTGTGTGTGTGTGTGTGTGTGTGTGTGTGTGTGTGTGTGTAACCAGCATCGTAAAGCAGCTGACCTCCAATTCAGATCCACCAGCCTCTGCCCCCCAGGTGCTGAGATTACAATCATGCACTATCACATCTGGCTTTTTACCTGGCTTTGTACTTACAGTTGCTTGGCTCTTCATATGCACATAGAGGTATGTAACTATACCACACACAGGGTTGTAGAAGAATTCTATCACCTCTACAACTTTTGCACTGCAATGTTGTTAATGCATTCTTAATTTTTTATTAATAGCTTTTTTTTTCCACTCACAGTTGTGCTTTCAAATCCTGTGGTTTTAAACTCTCCCATCTGAATTGCAGGTGATTTTGCAGTTCTTCTGAAAGCAGGCATGACTGTAAAGCAAGCAATTGTGTACAACCTGCTGTCTGCCATGATGGCTTACATTGGAATGCTCATTGGCACAGCCGTTGGTCAGTATGCCAACAACATCACACTCTGGATCTTCGCAATCACGGCAGGCATGTTCCTCTATGTGGCCTTGGTGGACATGGTAAGATGCTTCTAATATCTTTTCTGTTGTGCTAAACTTGCAAATAGAATGCAGCATCCAGAAATAGAAGACATCTTTGGAAGTGGTTGGAAATTTGACTGTTTAAACACTATGGCCAATTTTAAAGACTGACAAATAATTAATAAAAGGCATTTACTTTAGACTTTTTTGAAGATGTTGAAAATGTCTGACCAACAAATGTCACAACTCAAATAATAGCAGTATTTAGAGATGTGATTACAGAATAATAATACTTCTCAGGAGACCTGTGTTGGGTTGGGTCATCTTGTCGCTGTTAGGCCAAGAAGCAGGAAGAATTGCTATGCACGTGTCAGTCTTTATGTCTGCCTTCACAGTTAATCACAGCAGCTGCCCCATTTTCGCCTTACTCCAGTGTTCAAAATACATTAAACAATTTTTCTACAGGGCTCTCAGTGTCTGTAGGTTTCCTTTTTGCTTTTTAACAAGATACTACTTTCACCTGACAGCGTTTATCACACAGTCTCAAAACTTTGAGTTTCATCTAAGAATTACGCTCCTACGTTCTTACACTGACCCACCAGGTTCTCACTGTCCTCCAGTATTTGTGTTCACTTCCCTTCCTTAGCTTTCCTAACCTTGTGTCAGGTCATTTCCTCTTTCTGTGCCATAGAGCAACTCTGCGAGGGTAGGAGCCTGCTTCCTGCAGTCCCTCAGAGCCTTGTTTCTCACCCCTCAGGCAGCACATCTGCACTCGGAGTCTGCCCCTCAGGCAGGGCCCACTCATCCCCTCTGTGCTGTCACTCCTTGTCCTTGGCACTTGTGGCTTCGTCTATGGAGAGCACAATGATTATTTGACTTTATTTCTCAAGTTACGCGGCCTTGTCCACAAGGAGTCAGCTCTGCGGGGGCAGGCATTATTGTCATCATTATTAGTTGTCACCTGCCACTGCAAATGCTATGAATGAAGATGGTCTGGTCCTTGTACTGAGAAGCTAGAGATTGGAAGAAAAAATTTACAGTAAGAATGTGTGGGTTTTCGTAAATAACATTTTGTTTGTTCTTTGATAATGATATACAGCATATTTTGAGCCTTTCCCCCACTCCTTCATGCTCCCAGCTTGGGTCAGAGTCATGCACTATACTTGGAACTACAGAGAAGTTGACTGAAAAAAGAATTAGGAAGTTTTGTTTTTTTAATAGTAGGAAATCTGGGCTTATTTTAAAGGGTATGAAGAGTTTCCTGGGAGCAAGGGGAACCAATATATGCAGTCCTCAGGCCAGTGGTAACACGATTGTTCTGACCATTAGTTCTCTGGGGATTGTCCTGAGGAACCAATAGAAGGTGACAGTCATCTATACAGTAAGCAAGCAAACAAGAACAGCCCTATTTTCTAGACATGAACAGGTCTATCGTCGACACCAAAGGCAACAAACTCCCTGCAAAATTTTCTAGCACATTATTAACACAAATATGAGACTTTTTCTAATTAGCAGAAAAAATTACTTAAAAATAATATCCAGGGTCAATGAGAACTTAGCAGATAAAGGCACTTGCCACCAAGCCAGGTGACCTGAGCTCCCTGGGTGAAACTCTCAGGAACACTCTGTGTCCTTGGGGTAGATGGAGAGCACACTACTTACTGCAGGTTGTCCTCTGGCCTATACAGTGCACTGTAACACACACACACACACACACACACACACACAGTAAATGAAATACAGTTTAAACATTTTAAAAGGATAATGTAAATATGACACTTGGGAATTTTAAAAAAACCCCGAGATAGGTGCAGTAGTTTTATTTTTAGAAAGGCTGCCTTGACTGAAGGGAAGATTACTTATCTAAAGCTATCTGAAGCCAGTCAGGTAGGTATTGGCAACATGTGGGAGCTCTACTTGAGGTTCCTAAAGGAGCCACCTTGGGAATGCCTACTTAGGGGACAGGCAGTGCTATCTTCTGACAACTGTAGAGTGAGTTTGTGTGTGTGAGAGAGAGAGAGAGAAAGAGAGAGCGAGCTGACTGGTCATCTCACACAGGGGTCCTTATGAATGGTAGCAAGCAGCAGGCTGTATCCCAAAGCCCTGCCCCAGCCCCACCTTTGTGAACATGCATAAGTGCTGTGTCCAGGTTGATGCTGTTCAGCTGTACTGTGCTTATGGCAGTTGTGTTAGCATTCAGAATAAAATGAGTGGCACAGATCCAGTTATCATACAGGAATCCAGAGTGCATCTCTGAGACATTTTGTGCTATTTAAGCTTCAATATTAGGTGAAGTCAGAAGGAAAAGTTTTTGTAACAACAAAAATTTAGAGGAAGGAAGAGAAACAATGTAGTAATAGTCTCACTAGAACTAGTTATAGAAGTTTCCAATTTGCATTTTAAATGCCTTGCTGAGATCTGTCTCTTCTTTCAGCTCCCAGAGATGCTGCATGGAGACGGAGATGATGAAGAGCATGGCTTTTGTCCAGTTGGGCAGTTCATTCTTCAGAATTTAGGACTGTTGTTCGGATTTGCCATCATGCTGGTGATCGCCCTCTATGAAGACAAAATTGTGTTTGACATCCAGTTCTGACCATTCCCAGTTTGACTGCGAGAATGTTCGTGCAGCTTGCCTCTGTTCCTTGTCCTGTATGCACATTGCTCAGGGAATTCAGTGGCCTGCACTACTACTCACAGGTTCCGTAGAGTTGAGCCTAACCACAAAAGACTGGTGCTCAGTGCTGTTTTCTCTGCATGAATGGGTCTTTTAACAACAAAGTTTGTGATAAAGACAGGAGAAAATGGGACTCCATGAACCAATGTTGATAGACGTTTAAGACTTTTAAAAAAAGAGAGAATCATATAAAACACTAGTCTTCTTATTAGTAGAAACTTCTGTGGCTATGCAGAAATAGAAATTAAACCAAAAAAATCATTTAAACTTTAAAACTATTTTAAATGGACTTTGAGCAGACATTCTTGTGTGTATGCTAAGAATGAATTTTAGTGCCCTTTAATTCAGCTACATATATACATATGAGATTAGTAGGAATCAACTTGACACAACTTTGAAACTGTATAAAGTCGACTTTAGGAACTAGAGGGAAGCCCAGGCTGCATTAGATATGGATTTAGCATTGGGAAAAGCCCTTATTCTTGAATCTAGAGTTACTATTTTTGTATATATTTGCATAGTGTCCAAACTTGCAGCCTAAACTACTGAAATTTGTGATTGTATGTTTGTGTGAACTTCAGTTTAATGAAAGATTCTTAATGGTTCTTTGCATTACTCTACTTGGTATTGGGGTTATTTTCTTTTTTAACTTTTTATTTGTGGGGGTGAGTCAGAGCATGTAGTCAGATACCTTTTTCTTAAAATTACCATTCTAAAAACTATCAAAGATGTGGCATTCCATTTCCCTAGTACCAACTGGGTTAATTGAAAAGTTTCAGTTCCGAGTGTTCACATTACTTTCCCAGTTTGGCACCGGAACTCAGAGCACATGCTGTGGCTGGCAGTAAAAGCCAAGAGTGCCATGCCCATTGTCTGTATATAGAATGTCGGCTAAACAGTTACTGCACTGGAACCATGGTTACTGTGGTACCAAGTACATAACTAAGCCAAATCATTTATCATTTTGTGCCAAGATACAATGTTGGTGCCTGATACAGAACAGTCTATGTTTGGGTGCCTGCTCTTACACCACTGGTCAAGTGATATGTGAGAAGTGTAAGTCATGTTTAGCCTGAATTGTGACTCAGTAACTTTGTAGACTAGTCATGTGCACATAGCTCTGTTTATACCTCATGCCACTCGCTCTTCACTTATGCAAGTAAACTGTGTGGACTGTGTGCAGCTAGCTTTATTTTAACTGCTTGGCAGCCAGAATAGCCCTTGGGAAAAAAAATACTGTAAGAGCCAAACCCTGACCATTCCATTTTTAATGTCTCCATCTAGTCCTTTCCCTGGTTCTTTTCCTCTTACTCTGAATTTTTTAAGACGAAACAAAAATTTGAGAGCAGTACGTGCATCTGGTGTGAGCAGATAATCGCCAGTATTTCTTCGTTATGTTTTAAGCAAGGAACTTTAGGTGTTATTACTCCTATCATTTGTGCTTGAACCAGAACAGTTGTCTAGGCAGAGGCTTTCACCTCATTGCTTGGCCCTTTGAGCAACCTTGCTGAAAGGTGCTTGCATACTGAATTCTCCCAAGTCCAAGTAACTTGGATATTTTGCTTTCAAAACCAAGATGCTTTTATAGTTCATTTTTGAGTTTTACAGCCAAGAAGGATTGTGCATTCCAGAATCAGATCTGTTTTATTTAAAACATCAGCTGGAATATACTCCCATTCTAGAAGGCCTCATTTAAAGCTGATCGGTTATGCTTACAGTATATAAAGTTTGTCTTTATTTGGTAGATCTTCTTAACTGTTTAGTGAGCTTTAACAGTTGCTGCTAGTATTTTGATAGGGTTCCACCAGTATTTAGTCTTTACACCATTTTAATGTATAGTTTCAGGTCTCACTAGACAATCCTAATTCCACTACATTTCTGTTTGGCTCCAACATTCCACTTAGCTTGACCAGTCTAGTTTTAACATATGCTTGTTGGAGGTCACCAATGTTACTGTACAATGCTGTCACCAGGTGACATCCATGTGGACTTTGGTGTTGTATCACATTGCATTCACCAATCAGCTGTGATGATGCTTGGAAATACTATAGTAACTAGATGCAGTGTGAACCTTTTTCATTAACAGTGAGTCAGTGGCTTAAGTGTGATTATGCTCCTGCAAGGTGACACTTGCTAAAATATCTAAACATTTTTTGTTGTTGTAACTGAATCATTTTTTTTTAAATTTATAAAGCTGGAAGTGATCAAATGCTGTTTTTTCATTGTCAACAGTGGTGTGTCATTTTATATATATGTTCCTAATGCTTACGGAACTCTCCCAAAATAAAGTTATTCAGAAAGAGAAAGTGCACTGATGTTTCTGTCTCAGAACACTAAGTGTGAATTTCCATGATACCCTATCTAAAGAGGTCCGAATAAAGTCATCATTAAGAATGTTAGTTCAGTTTATTTAAGTCAAAAAAAAAAAAAAAAAAAAAAAAAAAGCTAAACAATACCATGTGGTGTTCTACTCAGTCCAACAAGCAGTCCAAGAGGTGATGACACCTTCGGATTATGAGTTCAGCTGACACAGAAGTGCAACACCCCGTCCAATCCAGTGCTCCTTGGGCTGGTCAGAGGGGAGAATCATAGCAATCACAAAATTGGTGGAGTGGCCTGTGGTAGACAGCGTGCCCCTCCTCTCACTTGTCTTGTAAAGTGGAGCAACATAACTCGGCCGCTTGGGGATGTCTAACTTCTTACAGGGCTTTAGCCACATCTGGAAGAAAGTACAAACACCTGTTACGTCAGAGCCATTACACTGGCACGTACTTCAGCTACCATGATAGTCCCAGGGTAAGGGGACATCTGAAAGTCTGTGCCCCAGATAGATGTCGTCAGCAGGGAAGTGGTTGCTCAAATACAGAGTCCTGAGTCCCTTGGAACCAGTCTATAACATGAAAAGAAAACCAGCTTGCCTTTGTTAAAACTTGCCCACTCATGTTTATTTTAGCTATAATTTGGCTTGCATGAGTTTATTGGGCTAGCCTGGGAAATGTTATCATTTCTATAGAAAAAAATATATTTAGTGAACTTTAAATTACGATCCATATTTATGTTGGAGCTGCCTGTGGTTTTCAGCAGTTTGTATGTAAAATATTCTTACAGTAAACAGAGTCCATGTATAAGATACTGCATTGTGCCATAATAAAGACACTAATACTTAAAAACATATCACCCACTGTTTGCCAAATGCTTCTTGGTTCCCTGAGGTGATTTCTGGTGCTTTTAATTATAAAACCAAGTTTGATATGTTTTCAAAGAGATGTGCCACTATTTATACTCAGAATCATATGACTATTTAAAAATAATAACAAAATTCTGAAGAGATGGGGGGGGGGCGAAAGCTATCTGACTAAGTCACCATAAATACTATGGATAATATGCATACTGTGCTGTGTCTAACAGCTGTGAGGCCAGGCAAGATGGCTCAATAGAGGAAGGTAGTGATTCACCTGCCCCTCCACTAAAAAAGACTGTAGAGCTGCAGCTAGAGTTGAATGACCTTAGTAAAAAAACTGGAATTCAGTGTCAGAAAACAAAACCCCTGTAGAATCCAGATCTGGGTCAGCAGCAAGGCAAGAAGAAAACAGCCCACCTGCTGTCCAGTGCCACAGCTCTGGGAGGGGGTCACCTCCAGCAAATGCCCAGTGCAGACAAGCACTGAAGTTCCCAGGTCCTTCCAGGTGTAAGGTCTAAAGAGATAGAGGCCGGAAATCCACACGCTTCGGCTTCACCCTCAGGAGACCCCCAGGGTGCTATAGCCAGCCCAAGAAGGGACCTGTTTGACTGGATTGCTCTAAGGGTCAAAAGCCTTGACTTATTCCCATGTCTGGAACCCACACCATTCTCTACCACATTAGCTCAGCAGGAGAACTGCTCACCAGGCAAACTGAAATTACTACATGGTGGTGAACAGGTATGCTGCAGAGGGAGCCTAGGGTCCCCTCCACGAGAACCAGGGTATCAAGGAGCCTGTCTGTGTTGTGGCTTGATGCTCTAGAAGGGTGAAGAAGATGCCACTGCCTCCTTGCCCACATGGTTTCAGTCAAATCATCCCAGTGTCCCAGAGGCACAGCCCAGGCAAGTCTCAAGAAACTAGACAGTGCTGCTATGACAATGCACATGAAAGAAACGGGGAGAATGAAATCCTTATGGTTAACATGCCCTCAGGATACACAGCCGAAGGGATACCTAAAAACTGCCCAACACATATTCCTGCTTACCTTCCTGGGAGAAGGACTTTGCTTGACCTCAGCCATGGCCCACTGATAGTCACTGGTGGGCACTATGGCTGGAACAGTCTAGAAAAAAAGCTTTCATAGCCACAGAAATACTTCTCTGTCCTTTGGGATGCATAGCTTGGGACCCACCAGAGGAGAGGGAGCTAACTGAGGTCCAACTGCTGGGTATGTACATCCCACTGTACTTGTCCTTACTTGTCTGGCCACACTGTGCTAACAAAGGAGGGTAGATGCTACAGAGGGTAAGGGGGAATGCTCTGTCTGTCCCTGTGAAGCAACTGGACCCATACAGTGTCTAATCAAAAGACAGTGCTCAGACCCATCATTGGAGTAGCCAAGACTAGAGCCCCATCAATGAATGAGAAATATCCCCTCCTATACAAGAACCATATAGGGTGCACTCCATTCATTCTGCTACCTACTTCACATCTGCTTAAACTGTTAGGTGTCCCACTGGGGTCTTACTCTTAAGTATGTGCTTTGCCCAAACTGAACAAACTACAAGATTATGCTGCAGTACCCAGCTGTAAATAAACTCAGCATAGCATAATAAACTGACACCACAAGACACATCTTTAAGAGAAAGTCATATTCTAGGAAAGCTATCCCATATAAATGGTAGAGATACAACTTTCAATAGATGTACAGCTTTCAACCTATAAAAACAAGAAGTAGTTTAGATATATTAAACTAATAACTTCTTTAAAAAAAAAAAAAAAACTCCCTAGTAACAGATTCCAAAGATACTGCAGGTGAGGTGGTACCTCACAGATTCAAAAGAAAGAAGGCTGGGGTGTGGATGAGTTGACAGTGTTTGCCTAGCATGCGTAAAACTCTGGGTTCAATCCTCAATGCCCACACAAAGCCGGGCATGGTAGTAAAGACCTAGAATCCCAACATTTGGAAGATGGAGGTAGGAGACTCAGAAATTCAAAGTCACCCTCAGCATTGAGTTCAAGGCCACCCTTGAGCTCTGTATGAAACCCTGCATCAAAACAAAAATGACAATGAGATCCAAGAAGACACACATAAAAAACCAAATTAGGAAGACAATGCAGATATGAACAAGGAAGTACTGGAGCAAAGATAGGAGGATTGCTGTGAGTTCAAGGCTACCCTGGACTACAGATTAAGATCATCTTTCAAATTCAAAGAAATTGCAGCTGCAAGTCTCTAAGCCAGACTCATTTAAGCAGATATACTAAGAATATTGGTCTTTCAGAAAAACACACTCGTTTAAAAAAAATAAAATAAAAGGAAAGAGAATAAGACAGAATGCAAGATTACAGGATCTTTGTGGCATGACTAAAAGATCAAATGCCTGCATAATTGGAGAAAAAAAGACTGAGGACACAGTAAAACCTACCCAATGAAGTAAGAGTAGAAAGCTTTCCTAGTCTTTGTGAAAACACATGGATTCATGTAGAGGAAGTCTTAGATCCCCAAATAATCATGGCCAGAAAAGATTCTCATAAACATTATAGTCAATGCCAAAAGTATAATACACAGTGTGTGTGTGTGTGTGTGTGTGTGTGTGTGTGTGTGTGTGTGTGTGTGTGTGTTATGTGCCCATACGTACAGCTGTACATGCCTAGAAGGGCCAAGAAAGATGTTAGACATCTTCCTCTATCATGTTCCACTTCAGTTTTTGAAGCAAGGTCTGTCATTTGGCCTTGAAGCTCACTGCAGGCTGGCCTGCAAGCTTCTGGATCTGTGTGCCTCCATCCCTCAACATGGTTGCAGGTGTGTGCCATACCTGAGGTTTTACCTAGATGCTAGGATTTGAACTCAGGTCTTCTTGTTTTCACAAGCGTTCTTAACCAAGAAGCCATCTCATCACTCCCAGGTTTTAAAAACCTGCAAGGAGAAAGCACCAAATCACACTGAAGGGCAGCCCTAGTAAACTACCAACAGAATTCTCAGCAGAAACTCGACAGCTCAGACAACATGACATGAACACATTTGAGTCTTAAGAAAATGTTTGCCAGTCAAGCTTCCTATATCCAACAAGGCTGTCCTTTAGAATTTTCAGAACACAGTCCAAGAATCATGTGAGGAGAATTCCAGGTGCTTGTGAGAAAACTGCAAGAAAACAAGAGTCTTGTGACCTCAGTTTCTTCAAAACACAGAATTGTTCTTGGAATGTGTTTTCATGTTCCTCCCAGATGCGGTAGATAGGCGTGAGCTTACTTCAGATAGTTCATTACAACTGACTATTGTTATTTGTTTATGTGCCTTCATGGATAAACATGCCTTGCCATGTGCAGCTTGCCCTTGTGATCGTACACTATACCTCAGAGTATAAATTGTCTGATGCTCTGATTAAAGTTGGTGGTTGCATGAAACTTTAGTCCACCTCATTTACCAGCTCCATTCTCTCAGTTCCCACTGCCAATAGAGCGGCAAACAAGAATGAAGAAGCTAAAAGACCTTCCTAGATAAATATACACTAAGATCATTTATGACCACAAGACCAACCTTACTAAAGATGCTTTCAAAAGAACCCTATATCCAGAAGTAAAAGAAAAACAGTCATCATGAGCACATAAAGTATAAATTCCACTGGAAGAGCAGGTACACAAATGAGAAGTCTAAAACATCAAAGTATCAATACATTAAATCATCAAACCACAGGGATGAATATAAATAAGGCAGGAAGAACCAAATGGTACTCCAAACAGAAGGAAATAGAAACCATGACAGGCACATCACACCTTTTTAGGACTCTGAATGTGGCCTTAATTCTTCAGTTAAATGATACAGATTGTTGGATGAATTAAAAACCAGACCCAAAATATGTTGCCCAAGAAAAACTCACCTCAACCCAAAAGATACACAGACTTAAATGAAAAGGTGGAAAATGATATCCCAAGCAAACAGTTCAAAGCCAAGAATGAGTAGTTACATATGACAAAGTAGACTTTTAAGACTAATAATGAGACAAAGGTCACTACGTAACAATCAGGGAACTAGTTCATCAAGAAGATTATTATTTATTAATATATGTGCATATACTAACAATACACAATATTATGTGCGTTGGTGTTTTGCCTGCTTCCGTG